TAAACCGAATAGGCAATTTTTGTAAAAAAAAATTATAGTTTCAAGTGATTTTTTCATTGAAAAACCGAAAAATCGAACCGAACCGAAAAATCCGAACCGTTAAAAAACCCGAACCGAACCGAAAAAACCGGTTTCGATTTTTTCGGTTTTTTAACTATTCGGTTTCGGTTTAAATATTGAAAAACCGTTGATTTCGGTTCGGTTCAGTTTTTTATCAAAAACTGAACCGAACCGAACCGAATACACCCCTAATAGATAGGGATGGCCTAGGTAGGCCTAGGCCTAGATACGCTCATGTTTAGGTCGTGGTATAGGTTTAAGGGTAGCCCGACCACCATTAGTGTTGGCGAGAGTTCAAACCAAGCAGATTTACGACGGTTTTTTTAGGGCGTTTTTTTTTTCATTTCTAGATTAGGAGACCAATAAGATCCAATCTGGAAGGTCTAAGCCAACTTCATCAAGGGAGTCAGAACACAAAACACTAAGGCATGACAGTTAGATGGATGATGCTTTCTCAATAAAGCTGTCATCCAACCTCAGACAAAAGATCCTACTACAAAGACGCCCAGGTGAAAATGAAGATGAACCGTTTTTTTTGTCACATAACTTTGTGATATAGGATCAAGCCTATAAGTGGTGAATGTTACTTTTTGTGAAAAATATGATTGTTCATTTTGGGTTTTATTTCACAAAGTTGTTAGCAGGGTAGAGGTTGGTGGTGAATATTACTTTTTGTGAAAAGATGACTCACATATGTATGAACATATGAGAAAATTAATCAATACACATATAAGGTTATTTTGTTCAATTTTATTCTTGTTTATTAGTTGTTACTTGGATATGTATAAAGCTGTTTTGCTTTGCATTTTATTCGATTGTTGTTCAATTCACAGAATATTCTTAACAATTAAAAATACATAACATTTCAAACTCAACAAATTTTCCTTAACATTTCAAACTAAACAAAATATTCTTAACATTTCAATACCCTTACACATTTAAACTTTCAGTACCCAATACACAAAACCTTACCAAATTGGCAATAACCCTTAACCTCACCCTTAACATCATCAAAATTCAAGTACCCAATTTAAATATATCATCAAAATATACTTAACATTTCCAAACCCTTAACAAAATGTCAATTACCTTGACTAAATATAGGTAAGAAAAACTGTCAAAATCATAGCAAATATCCAATTACGTCTCTTATTTTTCCTTTCTTGTTCAACTGGTCTAATTCTTCTTAAAAGACCAAGCATAAGAACCTCTACACGAGGAGTCATTGGTGGCTCATACCACTGGAAAAATTGCATGATTTGTGCCATCTACTACCATAGTTGCCACAGCTGAAAAACCGCCTTCCAGAGTTGTCATTCGACCATGTCGTCTTCAATGCCATTGTAATTCCACACTTGAAGATCAGAATTGATATTCTCTCAGCCATTGATTCCATCTTCTTCTTCTTCACCCAGTTTCCCTTTTTCACGATTGTTTTTTAGCTTTTTAGGGTTAGGGATTTTGTTCCTAAAGTTTAAATAGAACAAAGGGATAATTAATAAATATCCATCTATTTTTAATTATGTGAAAATCTGATGTGGCATAATAAATATTAAAATATTCCACGTCCAGGAGTTGTTAGTGAAATAACGACATAGTGATTAAAAAAGTTCAATCCCTAAAATTGATTGAGCAAATTGAAAATTTTAAAATTAGTACAATGAGTAAAATAAGAATCATATGAAAGTTCAGTTATCAAATAGGTAATTTACCCAAATTTAAACTATACTGTTAGAAAATCTGTGAAAGCTTTTTCAAAAATAAAAAGTAAAAATTAAGAATCCAAATATTAATTCTCCATAACTCATGTTAGAAAATCTGTGAAAGCTTTTTTAAAAATAAAAAGTAAAAATTAAGAATCCAAATATTAATTCTCCATAACTCAATTTGGCTTATAACAATAAGTTGAACTCCATTGTTATCAAGCTTGTAACTACAGTAATTGATTTTTTTTAAAATTTTAGACGAAAATTAGTATTACTATAAAATGCTATGTGTTTTATTTTGTGGTTTTTGAAGAAATACAATAAATGGATCATCTGATTAGGAGATTTTTTTTTTGAAAAACTACTAGAAATAATATATAAATTTTTGGATAAATATTAGTATACAAATGATATAGCTAATCATATATTATTTAGACAATAAAGTTGATCATATATTATTTAGACTAAAAAGTTGATCAAATATTAATCATGCGATATAACCGATCTTTTTAATCTCTTTTTCTCTTTTTCAATCAATGATAAACCTTACTTCTATTTATAAATTTTAATAGTCACTGGATTGTTGACACATGTCAATATCTTAGCCATATTAACCTTACAAATATTTAAATTCTTATATAGATAATTTTAAATATAATATTAACTATTATAAATATTTAGATTGATTTATTAATATTTCTGGATATTACTATTTTTATATTAATCTAGAATATTCTCAAGATATATATTAATGAATAATTATAAATCTATCTAAAAGTTACATTAGCTTTCAAAAATATTACTACTAAATGTTGTGTTTTCTCTTGTTGGTTTGCTTGGAAATACAATGGATAAATGACCTAATTAAGAGAAATTTAAAAATAAAACCATTAGTAAATATTTATATTATTGGATAAAGATTATAGAACTAAGAATGAAACGATCTGCACAAAATTAAAACGACTAAGCACAAAAATAATAGTTATATAATCAACAGAGAAAAATAAAACGCATGTGATTTAGATATAAATAAACCAACAAGTATTTGTGTCGCTTCGAGGTCTGGTTATTGGCCTTTCATGGATTAGCTTAGACTATCCAGTTGTTCCGCAATGAAGTAGTCTTTAATGACGAGAAAGTCGACGAAAAAAAATGTTCGATATTTTCATTGCTAAAATCGTTTAGTGAAGTAAATGCAATTGACCTGATAAGGTGATTTCGATTAATAATTTCATTTTAAATCTTACTATGACTTCGATTAATCACGTGCTTAGAAAAAGAAAACGCCTACTTGTTCATCCCAACTAAGGTCGTTGGTGATGGTAAATTATTGGTAAGGTCATTTTCTACTGGAAAAACCTGTGGCACTTCGTTCACACGTGTTGTGGTTGTGATGAGTTTTCATGGTTTTGTTGTTGTTGTTGTTGTTGTTGTCTGATTAATTAGTTTTGTGTTATGGCATTGCTTGCAAAAATCCGTGTAAGCGTTCGTGGGTGTTTTTATGGTCTACACTCTCTCGTTTGTATTTGGATGAGCTTTTGATTTCTTTCTTGGTCAATTTATTGCGTTCCTATGTGATGCGCTTTTTGTCGCTTCTACTTGCTGTGTGGTGTCGTTTTTTGTGTGGAATATCGCTTCATTCAGTTTCTCTCATATCCTTCGTTATCTCTGGGCCTTCTCGAATTGGCGGCCTTCGTCTCGCTAGTTATTAAGGTGAATTGGTTAATATGTATTCGTAATTATGGAGATTCTTATGGTTAATAGTTGTTTGTGGCTGCCAAGTAATTTCTCAAAGGGGACTTCATTAGGTTGTGCTTTGAAGGTTCGATTGAAATGCGATAGCTGTCTATTCTATTGTGATGGAATTGTTTCCTTGCTTCTGGCACTTAGTGGTGTGCAATGAATCAAATTGCGTTTGGTCTTTCTCAGTACATATGGCAATAGCAGTTTGTTGTAGGGCTATCTCCCTGACGCGTTGACAATGTGCTTATTAAAGAGTGTTTACGTGGGGTTGTTTTTCCTTGTGGATATTGAGGACAACAGTTAATCAAGATCAGAGGCCTTGGTCTCAATGCGTGAAAATTTCAGTTTTTTGGATATTTTTGTTTCTTGGGGTATCATAGTTGGTTCCTTCATGAGTTAGAAGGGGTAGTGGATGCTGGTTTTCTACTTAGGCAGGTTTGACTGGTGACTAGTTTGTACTGGTTTAAGGAGGTTCCCGTCGTGTACTGATATTAATTAATAAAATAATTGAACACTCTTTTTCTCTTTCTGTTGAGAAAGATTTTTAATGAGACTCATATTCCTTTTGGAAAAAAAAACATCCATAAAAAAACCATTTCAGTTTTCCATTTGACCGCTAAGAATAGAGAAAATTAAGATTGTTGTAGCTTGATTTCAATTCTTGAATAACAATCGCATGGGATTTGAAGAATACAACACAATTTTCTTGTTATTATCAAATCAACTGGCGGTAGTAAAAAAGAAGCTGACCTAATTGCAATCTGAATCTGAAGAGAGAACTCAACCAAATCAAGCAATTAACTTAAAATCTGAGTTTGATTTTAACAAAAAGAGTGATTTATGGAAAGGGAAAACAAGGATACAGTGATTTTACGATGACCAAAAAGAGAGCCTAAGATTCAAAAGAACATAAAAAAACAAGGATACAGTGATTTTGAATGTTTTGATTTTATTTTTGAATTTTTAATTGATTTTGAGAAATATTAATTAAACGTTCAAAAATTTAGAGATTAATATAGAATAGAGATAATAACTTAAAGATGAATTTAGAACATTTAAAATTTTATGGATAATATTTTTAGAATTATATAAAATAGAACTATAGTGTCGGTATTAAGTGAATAAAAAAGCAATTACTGAAATAAAATACTACTATAAACATGTATAGGATCAATTAGGCCTTGTTAATTGGACCGCTTAGCAAATCCTGAAATCCATACAATAACATAATGTCATACGTACTCGATTGTTGATGACATTTTCAGCTTAAATTTAAATCAAATAAAATAATCGGAATAAAACACAGATTTTAATTGATTATTTTCAGGTATTATTTACACCGAAATTATCTCATAGTTTACCTCGTGTTCGGTTATTAGGAACTTAACCAGTCGCCTAGCTACGACCTTTCCAAAAATTTCTTCTCCAAAACGTTATAATTTTTTCATAATTCCAAACTCCAAACCATCAATTACATTTCAGTGAATAAATTCATATTCACAAAAATAAATAAATAAATAAATAAATAAATTCTTTACTTTTCTCTTTGCTTTTTTCACCAAGACCAAAGAACAAACAAAAAATGGCAAAGATTGCTTTGGTCGTTGTGTTGGTCTCGATGATGAGCATTCTCTCGGTCCATTCCGTCGCTGATGACGCTGCGACTTCAACTACACCGGCAACAGGCACAGCAGTTCCGGTTACACCGGCGACAGGCGCAGCAGAGGCTAAGGGAGCCGCTGCACCAGCTGCTGACGCTCCATCTGCAGACAAGAAGGACTCAACATGGACCGACTGGGCCAAGGACAAACTCAAGTGAAAAAAAATCTTAATTCTAATAATTTGTAAACGTGTTTGTTATTGTTTATATATGTACATTATGTATCATAACATGTGACGTGTCACTATGTTCAGCGACATTGAGAACTTGTTCTCTTCATCCGGATCAGGATCAGGATCAGCACCGGCACCAGTACCTGCAACCGCAACTCCGGCAGAAACCACAACTCCAGCCGCAGGAAAAGCTTGAGCCGGGAGCTGTCACGACAGATGGGATATTATGCAATAAAATAGCAAAGCATATCAATGTAATAAATTGAAAGTATTCCAATCGGCTATTGTCCAATAATGAGGATGTTCGGATTGGAGAATCACTACTGTCTTCATTTTTTTCCGATTGATCTATTGGTTTTTTGGACCTTTAATACTATTCGAATTAGTAATTAATTATCAAACTAATATTATTTTGAGAAAATAACCTCAGAGACCAAAAATGTCTTATAATATACGATTTTAACCAATGTTTTTTTGGATTTGCCAAAATGATCAACTAAATCGCAATGCGATCGATAATTCGCAATGCGATCTCCAGTATCGCAAATCAGTTTCCAGATTCGCAATGCGAACTTCGACTATCGCATTGCGATTTACATATTCGCATTGCGATAGTCCAAGTTCGCGTTGCGATTTATTCCAAGTTCGTTGCGATTTATTCCAAGTTCGCGTTACGATTTATTCCAAATTCGTTGCGATAGTCCAAAATCGCAACGACTGGTGGTATTGCATTTGTTTCTTAAGAATTTTCTCTAAAAATATAGTATTCACACGGACGTGTCGAAGACACGTATTACCACGACCACGACCACGACCACGACCACGACCTGAGACGAGACGGCGGCGGCGGCGGCGCACGATAGTCCCCCTTGTTCTCTATCACTCAACAAGGAAGTGGGAAAGCCAAGCCTTAAATACCATTCCCAATAGTGTTTTCAATACTATGTGGGATTGAGCATTACCAACACTTGTTCCCAATACTATGTGGGATTGAGCCTTAAATAGTGATATTATTTTTGAATGTTTTGCTTAAAATTACAATAATCGCGATTGATTGTAGATTGACTTTTAATTATGACATTTAATCGTATAATACTAATGCAATTGGTTGCTGATTCAGTTGTTTTAAGGTGCATGATTGTTAATTGTTTCCTAAATAATCACATTGTATTGGAAACAAGTGTTGGTAATGCTCAATCCCACATAGTATTGGAAACACTATTGGGAATGATATTTAAAGCTTGACTTTCCCACTTCCTTATTGAGTGATAGAGAACAAGGGGGACTCTTGCGCGCCGCTGCCGCCGCCGTCTCGTCTCGGGTCGTGGTCGTGGTCGTGGTCGTGGTAATACGTGTCTTTGACACGTCCGCGCGAATACTATCTTTTTAGAGAAAATTCTTAAGAAACAAATGCAATACCATCAGTCGTTGCGATTTTGGACTATCGCAACGAATTTGGAATAAATCGCAACGTGAACTTCGACTATCGCAACGAATTTGGAAAATCGCAACGTGAACTTCGACTATCGCAATGCGAATATGTAAATCGCATTGCGATAGTCCAAGTTCGCGTTGCGAATCTGGAAACTAATTTGCGATATCAGAGATCGCGTTGCGAATTATCGATCGCATTGCGATTTAGTTTGTCATTTTGGCAAATTCAAAAAAAGTTGGTTAAAATCATATATTATAAGCCATTTTTAGTCACTAAAATTATTTTCTCTATTATTTTTACAACTAATACACCCTATTTAAGTACGTTCTTAAATTAATATTTTTATCTTTACAACTAATTTACCTCTTGATGGGTCTCGAATCCCATAAAAATAATATTTTACATGAAAAAAACATATTTAAATTTAGTTGTAAAGGGAGTAGAGTCGATTCTCCAAAATTATTCATGAATAAGGATTTTTTACAGTTTCATACCTATTATTCGACCTAAATTTGTGAAAATAAATAATAATATTTAAACTGATTCAAAACTAATATAAATAAAATATTGAATAAACTTAATGGTAAACTACGCCAATGGTCACTAATATTTGGGTAAGTGTTCGTTTTCATCACCGTTGTTTGAAAAGTCATAAATCAATCACTAACGTTATCAATCACTGTAGTAACGGAATGCTAATGTGACACATTAAACCAATTGACTCAGCATGTTTAATCGACCGTTTGACTTTTCTTCTTCTTTTTATTATTTTTCTTCTTCTTCTTCTTCCCATTAACCACTCACCACCGTTTCAGACAAAACCATGCAAGAAAAAATACAGTAACAAAAAGATAACATCAAAAGTAAAGACAAAACCATGGCGACCACCTGTTGTCTTCTTCTTATATCTTTTCATGTTTCAACTGCTCCTAGTCTTGTCCTAAAACCATGGTGATCACCTGTTGTCTTCTTCTTATTTCTTTTCATGTTTCAACTGCTCCTAGTCTTGTCCTAAAACTATAAGTATAAACCTTAATTTATCTTTAAAAACTAAGAATTCCAAGTAGCTTATTATATTATCATTTTCACTTCTATGTTTTGTTGCTCCTATACATATATCATATAATGTGCAATTGCTACTGTATGAATCCTCAGAGTCTAATGCCATGCTCATGTGCAACTGCCTCTTCTTCTGAGAACTCTTTGATGTTCTAACAATCTGCACTCATGCATAATTAACCAAAAAATCTGGTTCAAATTATGATCTTCATTTTCTTGGCTACCAAACAGAACCCGAGAAAATTATAAATAGGGGAACTGTACCTAGCAACCAAGAGAACTAAACCAGAAGGAATCCACGAGGCTACAATCATAGACCTCACACATGTTGGTCACGCCTTTTTCGAGCCTCGATTGTGGCCTCTCGTTCAAGAAGAAGATCTTGGCACTATTGATAATATATGTTTGAACCAGTGATTCAAATTACGGTCGCGGTCGTGTTTTTAGTCGCGTTGCGTTTATCGCGGTCGCGGACGTAACGGATGCTATCGCGATCACTGCGGGTATTGCAGACGTGAATTTTTTTGAAATTTGCATAACTTATTATAAAATATAGTAATTATAATTATAATTATAAAAAATCACTTTTAATGACTTTTAGAGTATTTTCTAACACTTATAGACTTAGTAAGCACACTAAGAACAAAACAATATTCAAAACTTAAAGCCTTTACTTTTTTTCCCGTTTGATGATTTAATGGACTGCAAACTGTAATAGAATACATGGCAATCAACACCTCAAACAAATTTCCCTACGAGGCAAAAAAAAGAAAAGAAAAGCCTCCTAGTGCAAATATAGAAATTCATATCATCACACATCCACAAAGAGAGCATGGAAAAGACCATACAACAAAATTATAACAGTACAAGTATAAAAACATCAACACTACGTGAAGCATGAGAAATCATTCCCATTTTCATTGATACCAGTAAGGAACAAGCACTGCAATGAAGTAAAAAAAATAGATTGTAACAGAATATACACATAGAAGCTCTGTTTTGGAAAATTACACAAGTATTAAATCGTTTTCCCTCATGATAAAAGTACATGATACGCATTGGTAGGTTTTTAGACCAAAATCAGGCAGTATTGCATCACTAGCACTGCAAAACTAGGAAGACTCAAAGCATTTGAAAATGTCGCCACTATCTTGAGCTATCATCAGGGTCACAATAAAAAACCTAGAAACAAAAGAAACTTTTAAAAATATTTTCTCAATTGAGTTTCATCGAATTCCATCAACCAAAGCCTCCAATTAATTAAAAAAAGCATACCTTTCAAGTGGTAGAGGAAGAATTTAATTTTCACCAATTAGTGGAATGACGAGGAAGTTCAGATCCTTCACCTTCATTTTGAGAGCCTTCTTGACTTGATTCTCGTGGCCTTTGTCCAAAAACATATCCAAAAAAAAGTAACATTTTTACCTTGATTTTCATATAATTGATGTGGAGGATATATCTGAGGAGGATACATGAGAGGTTGAGGTGGTTGATACATTGGTGGCGGAGGATACATTTGAGGTTGATATGGCACACCATAATTAGAAAATGATGGATAATAACCATATGGTTGTGGATAACCATGTAAAGGTTGGAAATATGGAAATTGTTCTGGTGGATAAAAACCTTGTGTGCTAGTAGATGAATCTCCCTGCCCAAGGTTACTAGAACTTGATCTTCTACTAGATGAAGAGCCTACAGAAGTATGCTTCTTGCACTTTCCTTTTGATGGAGCTTTAGGTTCACTTCTATCTCTTCTAGATTTCAGAGATATATTTCCACCAAATTTCGATCTATCACGGAAATGTCCACTAGTTGTACCTACCCCATATTATCTTCCATATCGACTATAAGACCTAATTTCATCTCTACCACCACCACAATCATCATCATCATCAATTGGACTTAAACCATCACCATCAAGTCCATCACCACTTTGACTTGGTGTTGCACTAGAACTTGAATGAGCCAAATTTTGTTGTTGAGATTCATCAACATTCGTTTTATCATCTGAGGTATCCACATGCAACACACCGGCAATTTCACCATCTAACAATGGATTCTCTTTATCTTGAAGCCATTCTGATAATGGATCAACATCTTCAAAGATATGATCAAGGTTGATAGGATTAAAACTAGTGTTTATATCATCGATGCTCGTTCTTTTTTTATGTCTAATCTGGAGCCTCATATTGTAGTAGGTGAACACTAGTTTCTCAAGTCTTTTATACTTCAACCTATTTCTTGCCTTGGTGTGAATATAGCTAAATGTGCTCCAATTTATTTCGCAATTTGATGCAGTAGTTGTTTGACTAAGCACTTTAATTGCTAATCTTTGTAACTCAGGAACACATGTGCCATATATTATCCACCACTCACTGCAAAAATAATTTAAATTTCAAAATAAATTAAAAATATAAAATATAAATTAAATAATTTAGTTAACTATTTACCTGGATTCATTTGCCTCCAAGCTCTCTGTGCTTGTGGAGTACCGAATGTCTCATGTTTATCTCAAAATAGTAACAACTGCATAAATAAAAGATAAAGAAAAAATGAAGAAAAATATTTTCAAATTATGTAGTTAAGTTACAAAAAATAATATTTGAATCTAACTGATTAACCATTCTGATTTGAGTGTCAGAGAAGGTTCTATCTTTCAATACTGATCTTGTACCTTCTAATGTTCTATCATTTGCCTCCAAGCTCTCTGTGCTTGTGGAGTACCGAATGTCTCATGTTTATCTCAAAATAGTAACAACTGCATAAATAAAAGATAAAGAAAAAATGAAGAAAAAAATATTTTCAAATTATGTAGTTAAGTTA